CCATTTGGTACACAAAGAAAACATGACTTATGACAGATTTGTCTCTCTGGAGCTGAAAAATGAAAGATGTTGGCATGGGGAAAGATATATTAAAGGAATACTATAAGTGCCAGAAATGTTTAACATTGCAGCACTAAGTGCAATAGAGACACAGGCCCCAGGGAGCGTGCGCAGCTTAGCAGACAAGGGCACATGTATGAGTGTGGGAATGGATGAAACAGGATGGGCTGTGTTTATGTTGTGGGAGTGTTGTATGAGAGGAACTGGGTGTTGACAATTGGGACTGACCTCAGTGCCACTTAGGAGCCGGGCCAGCAACAAGTTTCTCTGCCTCCTCCTGTTGCTGGGCCTGTTGGATTTTCGGCCTGTGGGTGTCCTGAATGTCTGCCCTCAGGGCTGGTGCTGCTGCAGACAGTGGCGTCCTCATTCCCCAGCAGCCTGGCGGTGTGGTCCCCCCACAGCTGTCTGGCTCCCCCTGTTTCTCTCTCCGCGGCACCCTCCATGGGCACCCTCCTGCTTGGCTGAGCCTCAGCTCTTCTCCTCGGACCCGGTACAGGAGCCGCAGCCCGGACCCAAGGCTTCACCAGGTCCATGCACTTGGACCACATCTCCCGTTTCTTCTGTGGACAGTGTGCGCCCCCTGGACACAGTGGGAGGGCGGCTGCACAGAAATCGACCCGGGCGGCATTCCGGGCGGTCTTCCCCTCTCGGCCGGCAGTGGTGAGTAAGACCCTGTGGGGTGGCTCTCAGCCACTGCCGCCGGGTGAGGAGGGGTTCTGGACCCCCATCATGGGCTCCTCGAGGTTTCTGTGCCCTGGCTATCCCCAACCTCTCTTGCCCGGGCGGGTTCCCCTGTGGGTCCGCGGGCCATGTGGTTCCTTTCCCTCCCCCTCCCCCCTTCTCCTGTTTTGTCACCACTCCTTTATATTGTCGCCCCCCCCCTGCCCTTCCCCCCTCTGTTCTGTCCTCTTCCTCCCTTGTCCCTGTGTCTATGCCTCCCCTGTCCCTGGGGCCCTTCCCCCCACCCCCTCTCCTTACCTGTCTCGGCAGCCTCCTGTCCTGGAGCGTGGGCTCACCATCCTTCCTCAGGCTTTGGGTGCAGTTGCCAGATCCATTCAGCAGGTGGCGTCTGGAGCTCCAGTTGCCATGGGAACTGTGGCGAAACCGACCTTGCCACTGGGCATTGGAGAAGACTGATTGCCAGCCTCCTGCCATGTGACTATGGCCCCTGGGATGTATTGCCCTTTAAAGACATGATTTGGACATAATGGATTTGTGTTGTGCTGCTGCTAGCCCTTTTAAGAACCATCTGGGGACATACTGTGGAGTTACTGGGTGGCCACCATTTCCTGTATCAGAAGCACATGGTGAGAACAATGGATGGCGGCCATTTTAACTCACAGACACTGTGTGGACTTTTCAACACGGTGCCATCTCGCCAGTATTTGTTGCACAGAGACATCATGCGGTGGTTTTGGACTATACAGCAGGGGACACATTATACATTGATTGTTTTTTATTTAGCCTGTATATGTTCTGCAGAATCTGCATTAAACTGTATTTTCCAAAGTACTGAACGGATCTGGGTGAATTTTGGATATGTGGTTCACCCAGATCCCCCAGTTCCAAGGATATACTTTTTATGGGGTTATTGCATGTTTTGGGGTCCCTGTGATGTGTTTTATGAAACTGTATTTCTCTGGCTGTGATAATTAGATTACCCATTGTGTTCAGTAATCATATCACAGCCAGAGGGGAGGATTTTGTGTGGGAGTGTCTGGGTGTATTGTATGGATTGATTGGCTGTTTTGTAATGCCCTGTGGGCTGTACTATGTTTGTGGATTGGGAATAAAAGAGACTGTATGTGACAGTACAGAGAGTTCCTGTTTTAACCCTCAAAGTGAAGTGTCGTCTCATTATTGGGGGAAGGATTCATTGTATGCTGTTCCAGTCTGACTGCTAGGAGAGTAAACCTATTCGTATGGTTCCTATTCAACTGTCTACAGCATTCAAATGCTTGGGAGAATTTATTTGTTTCTCCGGTTCGGTGATTGTGGTGTCTGCCAGAGTGCTTGGAGTCCTCAGGAAGCGCTAGGAGCATCTTTCAACGGAGGTACCCAGTCGGGGTGCCAGGCGATCCGTTACAGGAACTGCGCTGCAGTTCTCAAGCTGCTGTCTCTGCTATGATGCCACCAGCGGTTCCTGGGGAGCCGTCAGGTGAGTCATGTCTTCCTGCGCTTGCTGGGGTGTCTGCGCTAGCGGGGTTCAAGTCAGGTTTGCGGGAGCTATTCTCAGTGGGAGTAGGGTGCGCTGGCGCAGGGGGCTCAGGAGTTGAATGGTCAGCTGCGCTCAGCGTCGTACCCTCCTGTCGCGGCGGTGTGTCCCCTGGTGGGTGGGGGGTGTGGGTTCAGTACCCTGCGCAGCGGCTGTGGGTGAGTTAGCATCTTCCACGTTGGGGGCTGTGCCCCCTCTCCCCTGCACAGTCGCAGGGTGGTGGGGTGACTTGGGGGCTTTAGATGGCGTCACGGATGCGGCAAAAGGGGCAGCTTACAGAGATTAGTAGGGGGAAGATCCGGTAGGGGGATTTGGTCACGATATCCCCCCCTTTTTGCCCTTGGAGGATGTCCCTCCTCTGGGGGACAAGGAAGGGTAGGGCTCGGACGAAGATAATGAAAAGTTCCGTTATAGGAAATTCGTTGGGGAATTGGGTTCGGGCATTCGCTATCTTGGCGGGCGTGATTGCGAGAGGGCTCCCGAGCACTGCACGGCGCTGTTTTGCTACCTGGACACCAGTTGGAATGCGTATTATAATTCTGGTGGCCTGGGTTGGTGGCGCTATGACGAACAATTTTGTCAGCGCCTCGCGGTCCAGCCTTGGGGGGCTGGTGGGAGGGAGATTGTTGCTGGGAGTTTCACGTCAGCCAATGTCAGTGGGGCGGGTCGTGCCGCTTTAAGCACGAATGCTTCCATCGTGGTGGGGCACACTAGGCCTCCCACTGTTTCAAGCAGGGTAAGTCCAGGGAGAAAGGGATCTTGGGGGCTCAGAGCAACAACGCCGGTGCTGGTAGGCGCGATGTGCCCATGGCTCAACCGCTATTGAAACTGGTGGGCACTGGTGCTCCTGCTGGAGGGTGTCGCCCATGGCTTCTGTGCAGAACTTGAAGTCAGCGCTCGACTTCCCTCAGGTGGTGCTGGATAAGCTCCTGAAGGTGGTAGCTTTGGGGCGGGTCGCGGGCTCATTTGAGGCCCCCGACGCTTCCCAATTTGCAGGTGTCCCCCTTGGGCTTGGTGCCCAAGAAGAAGGCAGGGAAGTTTCATCTGATTCATCATTTGTCCTACCCTCAAGGGGGTTCGGTGAATGATGTCACTGCGGAGCTGTGTCAGGTGTCCTTTGCATCCTTTTGGTGTGCATGTCCTATGCATGCTGCAGTGTGCATGGTCAGGGCGGTGGGCCCTGGGGCATTGCTGGCGGAGGCCGATGTCGAAGCGGCGTTCCGCTTGTTGCCAGTTCATCTGGACTGTCATCACCTACTGGGTGGTGCAGTGGCGGATCCAGGGGGGGGCAACGGGGCAATTGCCCCCCTCGAGATTCTCCCCTGCCGGCTAATGCAGGGCTGGCATTGTCCAAGTGCCGGCCCTGCAATGTGCCTGCGGACCGGAGGGGAGATCAGAGATCTCCCTCCCCGGTCCGCAGGCACATTGCTGACAGCCGGCAGGGGAGGGAGAGAGGTTGAGGAGCTGTGCCGGGATGTGGCGGTGGCCAGGGGTCTGAGGAAGATGCAGCTGTGCCAGCTGCAATCTCTGTTGGGGAGGTTGACCTTCCCCTGCCGGATCGTACCCATGGGGCGGGTGTTCAGCAGGCGCCTTTTGACAGCGACTACCGGTGCCGAGGCCTATTATCCGCCTCACGAGGCAATTGCGGGATGACCTGGAGGTCTGGGATTCCTTCCTGACAGAGTATAATAGGAGGTCATCTTGGCAGTTGCCAGAGGTGTCCAGTTCGGACTTGCACCGCTATACAGACGCTGCTGGCTCTGTCTGGTTTGGGGCGATATTGGGATCGCGCTGGTGTGCTGATACATGCGCCTCCGGCTTGACCAGGAATCTTGCCTTCCTGGAGCATTTTTCCCATTGTGGTGGCATTGGAATTGTGGGGTCGGGAGCTACGGGTCGTTTTGGAGCTACGGGTCGTTTTTCACTGCGACAACCTGGGGGTTAACCAGCTCTCGGCTTCTTCTCTTCTGGTAATGTGCCTGCTCCAGCGCCTAGTGCTCCGGTGCCTGTGTCTTAATGTGTTGTGTTGGTCCAGTTCCTCTTGGGCCAGGTATTCCAAGGTATGGGTGGAATGGCAGGAGCTGGAGTCAGAGGTGGGTATCTTGCGGGTTCGCCTGCTCGTTACAGAGTCTGTTGCGGCTGCTGGAGCATTGGGGTTTCGGCGGGTATGATGCCCTCAGCGATATTCTCGCGCTTGTCCAGGATGAGTTTTCTGTTCAAGCACCAGGGTTGGGAGGATGTCACCACGGAGTTTCTGGTGTGGCAGGCCGTGAAGGGCCTGCGCAGGGGGCGGTTTACTGCGGATCCAAGGAGGCCGGTTTCATTGGCCCTATTGGCAGGTGCTCCCAGAGGTATGCTACTCAGACAATGAGGTACGGCTTTTTTACACCCGGTAGCAGACACATCTCTCGCCCAGGGCGCCCCCAGGTCAAAACTCCTTGCGCAACAATGCAAAACATTGACTAAAGTAATCCTAGAACACAACCTATACGACATCTGGAGAATACAACACCCAACCGAAAGAGGTTACTCATATTTCTCCCACATTCACAAAACCCACTCTAGAATAGACATGATTCTCGTTACTGCAGACATCTTACCAAGAATGACAAATAGTGAGATTGGGGACATAGTGTGGTCTGACCATGCTCCAGTGTCAGCAAGGTTGCAAACAATCTTTGACCACAAAGGGAAACCCCCGTGGCGATTAAATGACGCCCTAACCATGCATAAAGACTTCCGCACTCAACTAAGTCACGATATTCGTGAATACTTCCACAACAACACCTTACCAGAATTGGAACCCACAACCACCTGGCAAGCTCATAAAGCAGTGGTCAGAGGGATCTTTATCAGTAGGGCGGCATATATAAAAAGAACTAAAGAACAAAAATATCTGGATTCATTAAAAAAAACTAAGGGATTTACAAAACGCCCACTACCTAACCCCTACGGCAGACTTGGCACAGAATATACTATCGATCACGAAACAAATAAATGGGCTACTCCTAGACGAAACAGCACATATGCTACAGAACCTGAAAATACGCACTTACACTCAGGGCAATAGAGCCGGCAAGGCTTTGGCATCGCTCTTAAGACGGAAACAAGCCCAAACAAAAATCCCATACCTACATAATAACACAGGAAGAAAACTGCATGATCCACGGGAGATCCTAGCAGAGATGGCCAACTTCTATGAAACATTATACAACATAAAGCAAGACCCCCAGACATACCAACCGTCCGTACACGACATCCAAAACTTCTTATCTAACATCTCTCTGCCCAGCCTAACAGAAGACCAAAATAAAAGGCTTTGCGACCCTGTTACATTGTCTGAAATCCTACAAATAATTAAATCACTTCCCCCGGGCAAATCACCGGGCCCGGACGGTCTTACTAATTCTTATTATAAAACATTTAGCCACATTGTAGGACCACATTTAGTAGATACATTTAACCACATAATATCCACGGGCAAGATGCCACAGGATATGCTGATGGCACATATAGTTACCCTGCCGAAGCCAGGCAAGCCCCCAACTAAACCTCAAAACTTACGGCCCATATCCCTCTTAAATACAGATACCAAAATCCTAGCCAAACTGTATGCCACAAGAATAGCAGATATGCTACCTACAATAATCAAACAAGATCAAGTGGGGTTCGTTAAAGGCAGACAAGGGGCCGAAGGCACGAGAAAACTATACAATTTGCTTTACACAAAGCAACGACAGGGAGAACCCAGTGTATTCCTGTCGCTTGACGCTGAAAAAGCTTTGACAGGTTGCACTGGGGCTTCCTGCGAGAAACGCTACGGAAATTAAAATTTCCACAACCATTCCTAAATCTAATAACGGCATTATATTCCAAACCCTCTGCTAGGGTGACAAATGGAGGTTTCGCATCACAGCCCTTTTTTATAACCAATGGAACTAGGCAGGGCTGCCCACTGTCACCACTCCTTTATATCATAGCACTGGAGCCGCTGCTACAGACCATTAGAGATGAACCACAAATCACGGGCATAGTAAGAGGGGGAAGGGAATACAAGCTAACAGCATTTGCTGATGATGTGATGCTATCACTGACTAACCCACAACTCTCCATTCCAACCTTTAATACTTTACTGAAGGCATACAGCGACTGTTCATATTACAAGCTTAACGTGACTAAGACACAAGTGATGAGCCTATTCACGACACCTGAGACAAACAGCATCCTTCAACAAGCCACTGCCTTTGAATGGAGACAAGACTACCTTACATTCCTGGGTATAAAATTCACAACTCACACACACAAATTGCGCAAAGCTAATTATATCACACTTCTCCATTCCATCAATACCCAACTTAAAGGCTGGGAAAACAAATATATTTCATGGACTGGGAGAGTGGCCGCTGTTAAGATGATGGTTCTTC